GTTACTGCCTACACTTACCCACACTCACCAAGACCCCTTAGATTTCCCGGTGGTATTCTTGTGTAGAACCCTCTCCTCTCTCTACCTTGGTGTGCAAAACACACACTCATTCAATGGTTGCCTTGCTTTTATAACCAAAGAAATACTCCGTATGTGCATGCATGGATTGAGAAGAAGTCAAGAAGAAAGTATCCACTTTGATATGATAATATGCACCAAATCACTTTGTTGTCCAAGTCACGTTTCTTTCTTTCATTTGAGTTCTCTTTCTTTTTTTCCTTTTCTTTTGATTATTAATCAATTTTCCAACCGAGGGTACTTATGGCACACTTATGTGGTGTTAAGGGGCTGTTTGTTTCAGCCTCTTAATGGTTCAGATGTCTGAATGATTCAGCACTTAATGGTTCAGACTTTTTGTTTCAGCCTCTTAATGGTTCAGATGTCTGAATGGTTAAGAGATTTGTCTCTGAATGGTTAAGTATTATACAGAGTCTGAATGGTTAAGAGCTGTTATCTGAATTGATCAGACATTTGCCTATGAATAGTTAAGCAATATACTAGCTCTTAATGGTTCAGACCTCTTACTGGTTCAGCACTTAATGATTCAGACCTCTTACTGGTTCAACACTTACCCATTCAGAAGTTGCCAAACAGTCCCTAAGACTCTTAACCCTGCTTTAATTTTTTAACCCACCTGTCAATATTGCTGTCCAGGCAGGACGAGGTCATTTTTTTTGTGATTATACTCCGCAGTTTTCTCAGTCCTCAGCACATACTCCCTCCGTCCCCAATTTGATTACAAATTGCGGGTTATGGAGTAAAATTTCCTACATTTTGAAATTATTTTATTTACAAATTGGTATAACAATAAGATATAAAAATTACATATTAAAAAACTACATCAAAAGTTCTACAAAACAAGAGGTGATAAGAATATTTTATTTTATCAAATAATTAATGAAATTGCGTAAACAAACAAAAGTTATGGAGAATGAGAGAGGAGAGACTATTACCATGTATTTGAAGATTTGGATTCGGTATAGTTTGATTTGTTTCCTCCTCTGGTAACGTACTCCGTTGTTTTACATATGCCCATATTTCCCCCCAGGGTTGGGAAAAATTAACAATTGTAAACGATCATGAGCGGTGGAGCTAGGGTTACAATTCCGGCCACCCTCCGGAAGACGATCCAACACATTAAAGAGATCGCCGGCGACCACTCCGACGAAGATATCCTCGCCGTTCTGAAAGAATGCAAGATGGACCCCAATGAAACCGCCCAGAAGCTTTTCTATATCGGTATTATTGCATAAGAATGTCTAGTTTTTTTATTCGTGTTGAGAAAATTGGGGCAGCCTGTGTGGTTTGTTGAATGTAAGCTTAATTTAATGCGGTCTGGCTTTCACAGCCTTCAATGTTACGGAGTACAAATTACACATAAATAAATATTACGGAGTAAATGTCTGATATTTACTTTAAAAAAAGTGTGGTATCTATGCATTACATTAAAAAATAAATCGAATGATATTAATTAGGTTGTTATTAATATCTGTTCATATTTTTTTTGCACCGTAAGCACATACTTTATTACCAAATATCAAAATGTCCAGAACATGCAAGTCAACATATCAGATCAATCCACAAGAACAATCAAATTACATCACTTTAATATAGTTAAGATAACTTCTAAAGTTCTAATGTATCGTATTGCTTGGTTGCTGAGCTCTTCCTCCTTCTTGCTTTGGTGTATCTTCTTATTTCTCCATTTCCATATATGGTATATGCATGTAGCCCAGACTGCTAACCCAACACTTCTTGATTTACCACATTTTTTTTCTCTGGATTTCCTCCCCAATATCTTTAGTGGACCTGGCAGCCATACGTAGTTAATATTCTCCCATTACCCTGCACTATTAATGGGCTGTGCAGCTTCACATTCCCAGAAAAGGTGCTGCATGGTTTCAGCTTCTTTCCCACATAGATCACAATTACCATTAATGTTCAAAAACATGCCAATTCTATTCTTAGTTTGTAGTCTTTCTTTCCAAAACAGCCACAGGATACATCTAAACTTGGGTGGAGTAAGATTATTCCATACCCAGACTCTTCAAACTGGTTTTGTTTTGTCACCTTGCGGCCAATTGTATCCAGATTTTACTTTGTAATCACCTTTTGGCATATCAAAGAATTTACTCCTCACCTTCACCATTTCTTTCCAATAATGACATGAATCAGGTTTAGGCTAGTAGTTCCAAAAATCACAGCCCTTAATGTACATGGTGTGGGTCCATTTTACCCACAGAATATCTTTTTTCTCAGCAATATCCCAATTTAGTTTCATGATGGCAGCTAAATTCCATTTCATAGCATTTATGATCCCCAGCCCACCATATTTCTTCATTTGGCAAACATCATCCCATTGAACCAGTGGAACCCTCTTGTATTCAGATGTGCCCCCCCCATAAAAAATTTCTAGTTTCTACATACCGCCATAATCTTTTTCATTACTCCTTTGGGGAAAATGAAAATTCTAGAGCAAAAAATAGACCACCCCCATCAAGACTGAGTTAATTAGCCTGATTTTAGCAATATAAGAGAAGTGTCTGGACCCCCAAGCTGTAATTCTAGTGGTGAGTTTATTATCAGAGCATCACAGTCTTGAGCTTTCAGTCTAGCAGTAGTAATAGGAGAGCCCAAATAAGTGAATGGAAACTTACCCAATTTCAGCATCTCCTCCTCTTCAGATTGGTTTATACCTCCAAAAACAATCTCTGACTTGTTCTTGTTTATCTTCAAACCAGTAGCACTCTGAAATTTCTCCAAGACATTCATTATACAATTGATTGATTTAGTATCTGCTCTGCTAACTACAATGAAATCATCAACAAAAGTCAGATTAATAATATTCAGTCTAGCACACATAGGGTGGAAAGAGAATGTGTCTTTTAGGGCAGCCACTTTGAAACTCTTGTAAGATATTCCATTACTAATACGAATAACAAAGGTCATATTGGATCACCTTGCCCCAACCCCTTCCCTCCTCTGAAAAGCCATGATATTCCCCATTAACATTTATTATCCAATTTCATCATACATCTTGGGGATACACCCTTCCTTTTATATCCTTTTGCTATTTCCTGACATAGCAAGACATTGTGCACGAGTTCTCTCCCTTTAACAAATGCAGCTTGATTAAGGTCAACAATATGGGGTAGCACTTCTTTTAATCTCAGACAAATTAGCTTTGAGATTACTTTGTAGATTGTGTTACAGCATGATATGGGCCTAAAGTCAGCTGCTTTTGTTGGATTAGGCACTTTTGGAATACGAGTTAAGCATGTTGCAGTTATCTGCCTTAGGGTTGTGCCTTCTTTAAAGAAATCCAACACTGCTTTTGCTGTTAAATTACCCACCTTAGTCCATTGCTTTTTGAAAAATCCACTATTGAAACCATCAGGGCCTGTTCATATTTACTTTCTAATTATATGTGTTTTGGATTTGTTTTTAAGGTAAATGACAATCAGATTATGTACATTTTGACAAAAAAAAGTCGAAATGGGAACTTTAATCTGTAGTGATTATGTAATTGAGGCCATTTATTGATGAGTTCAATTTTTGAATTCAGTCGTAGCTATTCTATCTACTTGAGTAGCGTATGGAACAGAGTATCCTTTCCTTTTACCGTAACTTTTTTCTTTTCCCTCTTTTGGTTGACAATGAACCACTTTTACCTGATCTAGGTCTAGGTCTTCAAAAACAATTATTTCTGTCACTGCATGAGTTCTTGTACAAGTTTGAATCTTTTGGTAGAAAAAATACTGTAAAGAGTGAAGAGTCTAAGAAAGGGTAAAATTTGGCAGATCCCTAACTGTTGTCTAACACCATGTTTGGTTCAAGGAATTTGAAAGGGAAAAGAAAAAAAATGAGATGGAAAACTATTCTTCTTCTCTGGTTACAGTGGTTAGAGAGGAAAAGAAAAGAAAGTTGGAAGGAAAAGGAAATGAGAAGGCAAAATGTACTAAGAGGAGGGAGAATCAAGTTCCTTCCATTTTGGCAAAGAAAATGAGAGAACCATTTTCTTTTCTTTTCCTTCAAAATTTCCTGAACCAAACATAGTGTACGTGAGGGATACATCTCACTCTATTGTCGTGTAGTTCAATTTGTTGCTAAGTCACTCTCCTTAATTTTGCAGATACCTTTCATGAAGTTAAAAGGAAACGCGATAGAAGGAAACAGGTGAGCATTTTTTTCAACATATATGTTTCTGCAATGGTTTCTGTTGTTTGTCATAGCTTCAAATATAATCCTGTCCCAAAATTAGAGTCACGCTTTCCAAATTGGGCATCCCAAAACTAGAGTCCAATTTTCTTTTTTGGCATAACCAACTCACTATAAACACTCTAATATCCTTACCTTTTCAATCACTTTTTTCTACTTTTCAATCACTTTTACACTCTCTCTTATTTCAACCCACCCGCCCCTATCTTTTTCAATCCCTTTTTATACCCACCCCCCTTTATTTTCACGCACATTACACACTATCTCTTATTCCTACTACACATGAAGGTTTATTCTGGGTCAAAACGGGAACATAACAAAACTCTACCATTTCCCTCATTCTGTTTGGATTCAAACTGCGACTCTAGTTTTGGGATAGAAAGAGTGCTATATTTGTTGATAGTTGTGAAATGACTAGATGAGCATGTAAGACCAGGTTTCAATAGACTTTCATCCTCTCTTAACTTGAACTATGTCGAGTCTGTGACATGAAATTTGTAGTGTCTATAAAATATTCAGCTACTTTTACTTACGACTACATTAATGCCAAAAAAATACCTAATGTCATAGTTTTACGTTTGATGTCTTCTGTGGCACAACTTGGCACAACTCTTTAAGAAAGAACAATGAGATGAAATTGTTAAATTGTAATCAGTATAAATAGTTTTCCCTCACATAGAAAATAATTTGAGTTATGAGATGACAATTACTCAAGGTAATCCCAATTTTGTCTGAGTTGGTGGCAAGAAATTTGTTTTTATCAAATAGTTGGCAAAAACTAGTTAATATGGAGTACTATTAATTCATGTGAAAAGCATAGTCCCAATGTTTTACATGGGTGTCATCTATCTGCAACATGTGTCTTTCATTTCCAATGTTCTTATGGAGGAATGGTGGGACGATACTCTGCATAATTTTTTCATGCAACAATCATAATTCTTTTTCCCACTTGCATATGAAATGTAATGACATAATCATAAGTTGAGATAATTGCTGCATATACCATGGAGTATGACCTAACTTTTAATTATTAGCATTAGCTAATTTTTTTTTTTATTTGTAATTTTTTATTTGATTTTAAATGCATGTATCTTTAATATTTTGTTTGTTAAATTATTTATCAATTAAATTTCCACGTCATTGTAGACTACCAACAACCAAACTAGTGAAGATTATAAGCAGAACCAACACATGCAGAAGCGAGAAGCTAGGGGCGGAGGAAACTATTCTTCAATTCGCGTCTCCGATGGTATGTTCATTGTAGTTTATAACAAAATGACCTTCTTTACAGTGAACCTCTGTCAGTCCTTTGATGTACTCATTTGAACATGAAACCCTTGTAATCTTTTCATTATAGCAAATTTAGCAAACTTTCTCACAATCCCAAATTATTGAATTTTTACTTTAAGTGTATTTTTATGACAATATAAATTGAGTTGCGTAACATTTGGGTGCAAGTATATGTGCCTAGGGGTATAAGTCCTCATTCAAGTTGTTGGCTGATATGACTTTTTCGCTAATACTAAATTTCTGAATACAATTACTCTCTTTCCCAAAATGTTCTTCACTCTTTCAATTTTTGGCAGTCCAAAAGTTTTTCTCATTTCATATTTCGGAAAGTGGTTCATATTGATTCTTTCCTTTTTTTTTAAAAATATCAACCTAACAATTCAACTACATTATAAACATCGCAAATAGTAAGCTTGAACATCAAATTGGGATGGAGGGAGTACAATGTTTACTCCCCTGGTTCCGTATTTAAGTTCCCAACAATTATTTCATGCTTTACTCCCTTCAAGCCAATGGCCCGTACACGGTTTGATTGAGATGTGATAGTATGAGCAGAAGCATTAGTGACATTGGCAGTAGAGAGTCAACACTAGGGCTTACTCTCTTGAATTGCATACTTATCATAATGGACTTTGAGATGAGAGCTTGAATCCATTATATGACTTTGAACCATATTTGCCGTGATATGTTTTCCATGCAAGTTCCAATATTGTTCTTGTTTATGTCCTTTTTTTAATTACTGAGTTAAATCTTATGTGGTCAATTTTCCATGTAAGTCTCAGCATTGTTGTGATGCCTGCTCAAAACTTTTGCTATAATCACAAACACTGATCAATATTCCTTGCAAGTTTACACATTGTTGCTGACAGTGCATGCTCAGGATTTTTACAATAATCACAAGTGACATACCCATGCCTTATCCTCTCCCTCTTCCATAGCTACCATAACCTGTCCCACGATCGCCAGGAGTTTGGGAAATCATGACGGGTCAATGGTGATATCTTTGTAGTGGGAGACACTTGAAGAAGATATTTATACACTCAGTGGTGATTGGTGCAGTCTCTTCACATACGATTGTATTTTGGATGCTTGTATGTCACAGGCCTACAAAGAGTAGAAATCACCCAATATGTATCTCATTGATTCTCTTGTTTAACTGAACTGATCCTGTGATATTATGTTCTTGCCTAGGCAATGATAGGCACAATTTTGGTGTCCTGGCGGTGGAATATATTTGCCATGGGAGCTTGCCCCTAACGAAGAGAATTTGGCGTCAGCTAGGCATTTACTATTCGTCCATGCAACAACAAACCTGGAAATTCCCCCAAAAAAGCTGACTTGTCAAACTAAACCTTTTTTTTTACTTTTTCATTCTAAAAAATTATATTGGATGGATAGTGCTCAGGCAATAATCATGAAAAACTGAAATTATTAAAGAAAAAACCTAGAACCCCTTACTCTTCTGCTGCATGCAGAATGCAGTTCGCCACAGTTTGCCACGTTGTATCCACTTGCTACCACTGTTTGCCACATTGTATCCACTTGCTGCCACTTGCCTTCCCTCACTGGGTATATTTAGTATTTCTTCTGATAGAACCCGAGATCGATAGGGAGAAGTAAGGAAGTAAAATAATGTTTTTCGTTATTAGAAGTATAGAGTATGACTATAAACAACAACATTACCCTAGTGCCTCAAATCCTCCCGCCCATTGGTGGGTAAGGGGGGTCAGATTTACGCAGCCTGCCCTATATGTTTAGCAGTTGTTTCCAGATGATCCATGATGAGCGTCAAAAGATTTATTACTAAGTGCTACCCAAAGCCAAAAAAATAGTGAATCTTTGTCTCCATGGGAGATGATGGAAAGACATTGAGTACGACTATATGAGTAAAAATCTTAATCTGATATAAACTAGCAACGCCTAAGGAGTATTTTCAATGATAAAATCAAATCAAATATTGAATTAATTTCTAGATGATGTTTACATATGATAGGACTTGCCATTTATAGAAATTAAAATAGTAATGATTCCTTGGGTCTACTAACAACATCTACCTAAAATTTAGGGCCACTACAACACTACTTAGGGAATTAACCAATCTAAACACATTTAATAAATGCTTTGCTTAATCAATAATCTAAATGGACTCCATATCTCTTAAAGTTGTGTTGTACTTGAGTGATCCCTAAAAGCACAACTAAAACCCTGAAAATAGACAGTAATTTCAGTTTTTTTTTCAAGTTCAGACTTCATAATCAATATTCTATCATCTCCCCTCCACAGTCTACATCATCAACATCTTCTTTCTTTGTTTCATTTTCTTATTTTTTTATTTGTTTTCCTTGTTGTTGGTTATGTTTTTTTGCATTTCATTTTCGTATTTGTTACTCCCTCTGTCACAATATTTTTGTCCCTTTTTTATTTTTGTCCATCCCACTTTTTTGTCCCAGATTATATTTGTCAACATTAGTGTGGCTCACATTCAATAGTATTTTTTCTTACTTTTCAACTTCACTATCAATTGCACAATTCCACTTCTTAATTTGTGCAATACAACATGTTTGTATGTGACAGTACAACTGTTTTTTAATATTCTGCATTTTTTTGGCAAGAATAGAGAATTATTGAGCTTAAATCAAACAGGAATATAAAACCTAAGACCTAAAGAGAATAGGAAACCCTGGTACTTAAGACTTTAATTCTTATACTTTTAATGTATCACTGGGAATACTGGATATAGCAGTATAGTATGCTGCTACTCTTCTTAGACGTGAAGGGAAGCTGACAAATATATTTTGGCGGGGTAGGAATTTAACAACCATTTGGAAATACAAAGTGCATGTTTACTTGGAATGTGAAACAATTTGCTAAATCCATATATGCTTCTTTTTTGTAGTATAAAGACTAAAATACCAAAAAAAAAGAGGTTTTTCTTTCTGTTCTCTCCTCAAAATCTTGTACGGATATTGTATTTGCATTTGTACAAGAGTTGCTTTGATGTTTGGCCTATCCAACTAATGGTGTGTGGTTTTCCTATTATCATCATGTTATTCAACAGCTGCAAGACGCCAGAAACGAAGGAGTAATGAACAGGAAAATGGTGTCAGATATTCTAGAGAGAAAGGTGGCAGGGGCTCTGTGCCTATTATCGCCCAATCAGAAAAAAGAGCAGTAGCTGTTGTCAGAAGGTGAGCTTTATTTCACTAGCTAGCTTGACATTGTCTGCTGACAGTCCATAATTAGTACGAGTCTAAACATCAATGTGATTTATGTTCTACAGCTCTTCAACTTCTGCTTCTGCCACTACTGAGGCAGATATATCAAATGGAAGCTCTTCATTAACCCAAGTAGCTGTAAGGTCTAGTGATGTCAGCATAAGGTCAACTGCTGATGGAAATAAGTTGGCAAAACTGCCTTCAGTGGCCCTAAAACAATTCCGATATTTAAACCCTGGTCCTACTCCTACTTCTACCCCCACATTTTCTCCGTATAGAGTCAAAGATGGAAACTCCAAATCAGCACCTAGTGATATGATGTTTGGTGCGTCCTCAACTTCTGCCTCGGGTGTCTATTCCTCCGCAACAGATCCTGTATTATTGCCATCTTTGAACCCTCAAAATCCTGGAATAGCAGGAACAATAAAACGTGAAATAGGAACCCATCGGATTGCTAATGAAGCTCAAAGCGAGAGCAGTCTTAATAACGTTCAAGGTGTCTTGGATGGTCAACCTGCCTTTGGAACTATAAATTCTTCTGACAAAATAGGTCCAACAGAGTCACAAGCAGTTGCAAAAGGCAGATTGGATGGGTCTTCAAAACCATCACAGTTGATCCCAGATGAATTTAACCAAGAAAGTGAATGTTCTGAAGAAGGTAATAACCTGTTTAAGACTGTTTTTTTGCTGTTACATTTTGAAATTTGCTCGATCTGAGACTTGCAAAGCTCACTTGTATACATTGGTGTTATGACCCTTCTGGTTCCTGTGAATCACTTGATTCTTTTAAGGTTTTTTCTAACTAGAGCAAGCACTTATAAAGGTGCATTAATTAATGTATTTTACATGCAGTTTAAATATATTTCTATTGGTTTGATTTATAGTATTAATTGTCACAATCAATGCTGAATTTGACAATGGAGCTAAAAGAGACTTTTTTTTGCAAATAGAGTTAAATGAGTGATTCTTTATAATGTTTTGGCTTCGGGTAAGTAATGGACTAAATCAAATGGAACTGTTTTTTTTTGCAATGGAGCTAAAAGAGTCAGTCAGTTGTGGGCACTAAATGTAGCAATGCCTCAAGGGTCTAACAAAAACCTCTCTATTTTTACAAGGGTAAGGTTGTGTACATCTTGAACCCCAGACCCCAACGGAGTTGGGATTATACTGGGTTTGTTGTAATTCTCAATTTGAAATAAGCCAATAAACAAAAACCATAACAAGTGCAATATTGCGCTTGTTAGTCAAAGAGTTCTTTTTTAATGGTCTGTACATGTGTAAAAAACATTGATGGATCATTAGAATGCCCCATTTGTTGAGTGGAATCATGTTCCTGATGTTATCGTGGAATGTGTTTGCTGGTGATACTAGCATTCAAACTTTTCGCTAAAGAAACTGGGCATTTTGAAAGTAATAGACAAATTCTGTTTTTGATGTGGCATTTTTAAGATGGGTATTCCGGTATTGTTTAAACAAAAAACAACCGAGTGGAATCCCACGAATGGGGTCTAGGGATCGTAGATGTACGTAGACCTTATCCCTACTTTGGAAGTTAGAGGCTATTTCCATTAAGACCGCTGGCTCATCTGGGGTATTGTTGCATAAGTAAAATAATTTAATATGACAATCTCTAAAAAGATAATATAAAATCTTGTTTTTGACTTTTGGTGTAATCTTCCTTTCCATTTCCCATTTTTTTGTGTGTTAATCTAAACTTGTCTTCAAATGATTATTATGCAGTATTAGCATCTAAGGCTGATAATGTTACATCAGAAGCCCCTCCACTCTTTAGATTTGAAGACAATTTACCTAAGCAACTTGATATGAAATTAGAGAAGCTAGAGATTTCTGCTCATCAACCTGTTATTTTACCTAGTCATCTTCAAGTACCCGAAGCCATCAAGTCTGGATTGACTTTTGGGAGTTTGGAAGCTCCTATAGAGCAGATAATGAAACCAAACAGTAAACCCGCTTCGATTCCTAATTTGATTCCTATGGAGCAGGTCATGACCTCAAGCAACGATAAACCTGCTTCGATTCCTGATCAAACTTGCACGGAGATTTCCATGAGGTATTTTATGACGCAATATATTTTTTCTTATGTATTGGGTATTGAAATGACATTTTGAAATTTTCTTTATTCAAGGTGGATTACTTATTTCTCTTTCATATACTTCCAGTTTTTGTTCATATTCATATTTGAAACTGAGTGCAGTCATCAGGCACCACCTAGGACTGCTCAGGAAGTCATCCATCCCAATAATACAGAACTAGTTGGAGACAGCACAACTACTGGTGCAGCTAGAACATTTGAACAGGCAAAGCAGGAGGTACTTCCGCTTTTTGGAGGTTCACAAGTTTCTCATATTCAAAGTCCTAATTATACCCTTGGTCTTGTACCACAAGTGTCAAGCCCACATCTTGTGCAATCTGAAAGATCCAATCAACAGGCATGCATATGTTCTAATTTATTCGTGTTCCCATATTTTGTTCTCACATCTGAGTGCATTCATCATCTTTTTTATCGTGATGTGTTTATTGTGTTGCTCTGGGGTCTCTTTGTAACAGCCTCCTTAGAATCAAGTAGGGGTAAGGTCTGCATACACACACCGTCCCTAGACCCTACTTTCGTGGGATTATATTGGGTTCTTATTGTTTTCATCATACATCTGAGTGCATTCATACAAGAAAATTTGGCCGCATGCATCAACAATAAGACATTACATTTGCAGTATGGTAAGCCTAGAGTTTTTTTACTCTTTGGTTTTGTTTTAGAATGTGCAATCTAATGCATAAGAAATCTTTTGAACTGCTTAAAATTTAAATACATATTTGTAGCTTTTAAAATAATGGTAACATTACAATATGGGATTTTGAGATTTTAACAGACATATGTGGCGGCTACCACTGCTCATCCGCTCATCCCTCCATGATATTGTCCATGTACGTGGAAATAACCTATGATGATGGCGGTGTAAGATTTTTTATCTCATTATCCCGACTTATGAAGGATGCAACACAAAGGGCATCCAGTGTTAAAGATTGCCACCATGCTTTTTGAATAAATCTTTAGCATAAAGGTTTTGAAAGACAAGTTGAGCCTCCAGTTCTTTTCACGTTTTTGGGAGGGGAGTGGAGAGGTTGCCTTATTTTAAATTTGATGGTTTGCTTATGTCATTTCCAACATATCCATTCGAGCCAAAGATTCACTGATAATGATGGAATAAAGCAAAATGACTTTTCAAACTGTCTGCTCCTCTTTTAGAGTGTAGTAGCAATCGGTCAATGCAACTCTAGACGCTCATCATGGGTCATCCGGAAATAGTCACTCTGTGTTTTAAACATAGTGCGCATTGTTTTTGAGATTTTTATTTTATCTTTCTGAAAAAGCATTCGAGCTTTCTTCTGCTCACTTCCTTAATTCAAGTGAATTTCTGCCATGCAAAATGTTTGAATTTTTGTTCACATGCAGTGTGGGAATTCTCAAGCACAGTCAACATCAGGCCAAACTTCACCTGTTTCTCAGCCCATTGGAATTTTACCGAGCTCTACATTATCTCATCAGGTGTTCCCTTTCCTTAGACAGCCATATGCTTCTAATTATTTCCCGTACAACCCTTACCTCGCTCCATTTTACATGCCTCAAACTGCCCAACAATTTTTAGGCCCAAGTGGCTTTGCTCAACAACCTTCTACCGCAAACATTTATATGCCTCCATCACCTGGGGTTAAATTCCCTGCATCGCCTCTATACAAATCTTCAGCTATAACTGGAAGCTTGGCACATTATGGGGTTCCTACTGGCTACAGTTCATATGGCTCCTCAGTTGGATATAGTTTGAGTGAAGCCCCAACTTCTGGTGGGTCCACTAGCAGAGGAGACCTTGCTGCAGCTCAGCTGAATGAGAAGAATATATACTCCACACTAAAACAGGTGTGTTACTATTTACTTTTTCAATGTCAGTGGTTGAAAATCTTTGAACTATTCCAACATTAACAGTCACTTTAGATTTGGGAGCCATATTAGGAAATTAGTGAAGAGATATCTCTGTCTCCCTCACCCCCCTTTGGATGATATATAGTTCATCTTTATATGCAGAGTGAAGAGCCGCATGTTTGGACATCGGCAATTGGAAGGGATCATCATCCATCAATGTTACCACCACCGCCGGCCAATTACTTTTACAACTTACCTCACCACACCCAGCAAGTAGCTTTCTCCCCCACACATTCCATGCATGGACCTCTTTCTAGTATCTATCATCCGTCTCCCACAGTTGCTACACCGTCTTCAACGACTTCAAGCATTCAGCAGTTACCCCAGCAGCAAACTCAGGCTGTTGTTGGTGGATCACCTGATGCACTTGCTCCTCATCAGCAACTTCAGCAGCAAATTAATTGGAACTCACCATTCTTTAAATAGGGAAAGGTCAAAAAATCCGTCCAGACAAATGCACGCTCGTTGAATAACAAGCGACTTGATGGTACCTCCCTATGCCTGTACATATAATCTTTACTTTTCAAGCGCAGGTTAAACAAAGAAGAAGAAGCTTGAACTTGTGTTTTTACCAGAATTCTGGATTTTTGAAGCACATGCCTTTTGACTTAAGTTATGTTTGGTTCAAGGAATTTCAAAAGGAAAAGAAAAGAAAATGACATGGAAAATGATTTTTCTTGTTTAACCAAAGAGGAAAAGAAAGGGAAAAAAGGAGGGAAAAATTAAAGAAAGAAGAGAGAGAAAACAAAAATCTTTCCGAATGGTGAAGAAAAAGAAAAAAAATCTTTTTCTTTTCATTTCCTATCTAATTCCCTGTGCCAAAGATAGTGTCAGAGTTAGTTTAGCTCTCTATAGCCTCTCCAGATTAGTGATTGGTTTGATTGGCTTTTATTATTTTATCAATAGGTATCTGGAATTGAGCTAGAGTTAGTGAATTATTCAATGATTTATTATTTGAGAGGAATGTGAATTTCCACTCCTTAATTTGTCAAAGTTGATGTGTGCTTGTTTTAGTGTATGGCATGTCATTCATTCTCGTTGATTTTTGAGTGCTAAATGCTAATGTATTGCTGAGATGTTTTAATTGCTTGCACATTTTATTTATTGAAAAAAGATCGGATGTCACTATATTAATTTGGGATGTCTATAATGTTCCCTTTGTAAAATTGATCGGCTCCTATCCTAAGCCTCTTTATTTATTGAAATGAAGAAGCAACTAAGAATTTGTGCTCTTCAACTTATTTGTTTTACTTAATACTTATTTTTTTTGGAATCAGATCATATTAGAAATAACTTTGCATACAAATATAATTAGAGTAGATCAAATTAGATCAAAATTTATTTTAATCAGATCAGAACTAATCAAATAAGTTGAAAAAATAAGCCCTAAAGCATGTTGGATTTGGCATCAAGAATTCTTCTATAGTAGTTACAATTAGTTACTCGCCTTCCTAAAAAAGGTTTGAACAATTTGGTCTTCAAGTTAATATTGACTATTAATATCTATAGTTGTATATAAATACTCCATCCATCTCTAATTAATTTGCATGTTTAGCATTAACATGGTCAAACTTCATTGACTTTCTTTCCCTGTTTTCGTTAGTTATTTGATAAAATAATATAGTCATGTCACCGCTGGTTTTGTAGATCTTTTGATGTAATTTTTAAATATATAACTTTTAATTTTTAATTCTATACCATTTTTCATATAAAATGATTTAAAAATAACTTCAGTCAAATATCGTAAATTGAAACAGACGATTTAAATTGGAACGGAGGGAATAAATTTTATGAGTATAGTAGAGAGTATATTTTAAAACAACACATCAATTAGTGTTATTAAGTTCACATTATAACTTAATGTTTATTTAATGAAATTTATGGTGAAATTTTGCAATGTACTCTCGTACAGAAGTGTTCTTTTTGTGTTGACTTGGTATGTTTATTTAAAAGTAGAAAAAATGACAAACTTCCAAGAATGCCTCCATTTTATTTTGGGGGTACAATTTGATTTGGTAGTGGCATAACACTTTCAGAGTATGCATTCAGGTAGCTCTATAGTGTGAACACTGATGGAGTGAGATCATCAACTGTTATTCTACAAAAAAAGCATACGACGTAGTCGTGGATACAAGACATAGGCAATGTGGACTGTTTCCCGCACGTACACATTTGTTGGCTCAAATGCACAATAATTCCATCTTCTCTACCTGCAGATCAAACATTGCCCTCGATAGTGACTTGGAAATTCCCTTGTTGCAGATGATGGGGGATGACATTATAATGCAAATAATAATCTTCCATGCTTCTGACCTCATTCCAAACATATTTTGAAAACTTAAACTTCGCTTGTAGCCATATAATCTTATCTGTCCGCCTTTTTGCAAATAATTTTACTAACCTCTAAAAGGTTGTCTTCATGATAGCATACACCGGAAGAGAGCAACATCCCTTTAACATTTGATTGAAGCATTCCAAAAGATTAGTGGTCGGGATTCCATACAGGGCCCCACCATCGCAGTTTTGTATTCACTTTTCTAATGGTAAAGCCATCAACCAGGCATATGACATTGCCCGCCGTGACTAGATTTGTTGCATTGTTCGATGAAATTCATAGACATTGGGGGTACTTGCTGCATGATACATCAAGGCTTTAAGCTTCTTGCTATTGAACTTCTTCTGAAAATTACTTCTGAGGTGTCGCAAGTAATATCTTCGTGCGACACGTTGTTCTCCTAACTGTTGGACTACTTTGACTAGCACACTGTCATATGAATGGGTACTACATAACGCGTTAAATGCATCATGAACCAGCTCCAACTATCTCCGTCTTCTTTGTCCCGAATGGAATAAGCTAATGGGAAAATATTATGATTTGTCATCATTGTTGTTGCTATTAACAAGACTCCTTTGTATTTCTTGGTTCCATCAAAAGAGATAACGAGAAAATAGTAGTTGAACCCGTTAATGGATGCATTGAAAGACCAGAAAACGTACATGATGAATTGAAGTGTTTGGGGTGAGGCTGTTGGCCACATTTGCACCTTGTTCACTAGCCATGGATTGCTTTGTATGAGCGCAGCTAGCAGTGAAAATTGTTTGTTGTACGAATCCTCCCATGAGTCGTACAATCGTTGAATTACAATCAACTTGGCCAACCAATATTTTTTGTACGTTACAACTACTCAAAATAAATCGTACACATTTTTAGCATTGTACCTCACCTTGTAATCTGAATCACTTACAATTTTTTTAGAAGATCATTTTAGAAATGAGTTCGCTCGTGATAAACTTATCATCCTTGTCTTTGGAATAGTCAGGTCTACATAAATATTGACTATTGTATTTTTTGACGGTCCAAATAAAAGATGACCTAACAGCCTGGATGAACTAGAGTCCTTTTCTTTGTAACGTGAAAAAGACTTGTGAGTAAATGCATGAGAATATATTTTAGGAAGATTGTAGCTGTGCAATGAGATTGTGAGACATGCTTCAAATATATACTAGAAGTTGAGGATTTGTTAATTGTGTTCGGTGAAGGTTGTGTTGGTGGAGGATTTTATTGTGTTAGGTGAGAGTTGTGTTAGATGAGAGTAAAGTAGTTGTAGGTTTTTTTGATATGTGAAGTTGTGTTGGTCCGGGATTTTATTGTGTTAGGTGGGAGTTGTGTTAGATGAGAGTAAAGTTAGTTGTAGGCTTTTTTTGTTAGATATGAGTAAAGTTAGTTGTAGGTTTTTTTTGTTAGGTGGGAATTGTGTTGGTGTGGTATTTTATGTGTAAGGTAAGAGTAGAGTTAGATGTAAGATTTTATTGTAATAGATGGGAGTAAAATTAGGTACAAGATTTATCGTGTTAGGTGAGAGTAGAATTAGGTGTATAATTAATAAATCAAAATATTTAATAGATATTCTTACAAGAAAAAAATTCACAAAGATGCAATTTAAGACATAACTAAGAAATTTTAAAAACTTCTCAAAATATTAAATCTTCACGAATTACATACGCAAAAAAATATTTGTGGTGGGAGAACTCAAAAGCTGTTGAATGATGAAAAAGAAAGTTGCGCAAAAAAATATTTGTAGTGGGAGAACTCAAAAGTTGTTGAATGATGAAAATACTCTACTCTTCTGACCAGCCTTGAACAGGAATGCTTTTCCAAAAGTTACACTGTCTCAAAATTAATTGCATAAATGCTAGGTACATGAGAACTTAAGTCATGTTCTCTTCACCTGATATGATTGATTATGATCTAATTAGAATAAATTTTAATATGTTCTGGTCTAATTCAAATGTAATTATATTTAAATTTGTTTCTAAACTAGTCTAATGTAATCTGATTCTAATAAGAATAAACAATAAATAAAAAAATAAATTGAGGAAAACATAGCCTTAGCCACTTGAACCGTTGAGATATTCTACTATGCAAATTCTAAATATTCATTTGCGTCATTTCAATTGTGAAGTAAAGTTGTATATAGGTACTTGTGAGACATAGGAGAATGAAGAAGTGTACTACTGCATATATATTACTCATGTTTAATACGGAGTAAATATTTTTTTTGAATATTTTTGAAGGAAACAAAAAAAATAATTCTGCCTGAAATGCTAGTAGCTGATACTTAAGGAAGGCAGCATTCTTTTCAAGTCGCGCAAAGCCATTGACGAGTGACAAAGGGATTCTTGTTCAGTTATGATTTTCACACACATTTTTAATGTTTTTTTTTTGGGCTAAACCACATAAGCAGTTACAGTTTGTGTTAAACCCACTTTTGTCACACTAAAAAGTTACGAGTTCTAAGAGAGGCACACACAGATTTATAACAAGAAACTGAGAATCTGCCATGGGATGTTAAAGAGCAAGTGGATACAAATTTCAACGTTCTGCCTTGAACAACATAGACTGCATAGGTAGATGATAAGTTCAGGGTGAAGCTCAAGGTTTGGTGTCCTCTTCGTCCTCCTCAATCTTAGGTGCGAGATAGAACCTGATGTATCCCATCTCCGCAATCTTGTACTCCACAACTACAGGAAGCTCTGAGGACAAGCTGATGGTAACAGTGTTGGACAGCGGAGACGCTTTGGTGAAAGAGTTCAAGTACCTCAACGCAAACGTCAGGGACACTGGCTCATTCATCTCAATGATTGTTGCCTCCTCCGGCTGCAAATCAATCAAAAAGAGGATTGGAATTGAGCTACTTGTACCCCAAAAGTTGTACCTCAAAAGTTGTACCCCAAATTGTACACCATAGCTATGCACCTTAATTTTATGGACCATGCTAGGGTGCCATCACATGGGTGCACCCATGCTTCGCACAGACACAGACGATAATTGTCTGTGCGACACAAACAATTATCATCTGTGTTTGTCTGTACGAAGCATGGGTACACCCATGGTAGCACCCATGTGGTGGCACCCTAGCATTTTTCTAATTTTATATGAATGTGATGCTTGGTTGTTCACACATGCACAAAATGCAAGTGCAATTTTTTTATCGCACTCACATTGTGTCTGTGTGAATCATCAAAATGTTAGTGCATAACCTTGGTGTACCCTTTGGGGTACAATCCTTGGTATAATACCCCCCCAGCATGGTTGTTATTAAGACCAACCACTACAGAAAGATTCAGCAGAGAATAATAAGTAAATTTTAGTTTAGTAAAACATCCTGCCTTGTCTACTGTTGTGTTTTGCCTGCAAACAATATTTGCAGTTCCAATGTCACCCCTTGTTGAGAACTTCACACCTTCCTTGGTCACAGAGATAACAACTGCAATGGCCAATTTGAGACGAAACTTTTATTATACAACACAAAAAATATGGTGTATATATTAGTGATTGATCGTCAGATGAAAAATGGGCTACCTGTATCACCAATGCTGCTAAGATCTTTACAAATGCGAGCAAATTCAGCTGAAGGCATCCTAACAATAGAATGGTACTCTGCTTCTGGGATCCCAAGGTGTTCGCTATCAATGTCCATAAGCTTCATCTCAAAATCAGCAATCTTGTCTTGAGCTAAACCACATTGCACCAAAAAAAACCATCAAAAACACGAAATAAGGCAAACAAACCACAGTTTTGCACACTGTCATTCAACAACACATGCACCCAACCAAAGCAAAATGCAGAAAAGAATGAAAGATAAGTGAACTTTTAAGGCATTTAAACAATGAAGTACTCCTCTATTCCTATTTAACAGTACAACGTTTTGAGATTTAAGTGTTTCATTTTGTCAATTGATTTAGCAAAAATATAGAAAAATAATTTCTTCCTACCAATGTTTAACTTAGTACTTTATTAGGCTATATTAAACTTTTACAATTCAAGAGGGGATATATAAAAGAAATGTTGGTATGGAACAAGTTGTGATTTTTTTTTCAATGAGTGATTTGGATAAAGCAGATAGTTTAATAGGAAAAGAGGGAGCATAACAATTTTCTAAAGGCAGGTCTTATTAGACTAGATTAACATTAAATCTCGCAGCTAAATTGAAGTAAAGAGGAGTACAATGACACAATTGTGATTTCAAAACTAAGAAATAAAGAGCCAAATTCAGAGAAAATCAGTGGTTTACCGGACATGAACATAAAACAAAATGAAGAAATACAGAATTCAACTGCAAAAATGCTAAAACTTACTGGGGTTTTCAAACATGAAGGTGACAGTATCGCTTCCATCGTCTCCCTTGATGGTGATAATGTCGTCATTTCCGGCGCACTTGAGCATCTTGGCCATGTTGTTGAGGTTCATCCCCATGGAGATGTTGCGATCGCAGCGGTAGTGTTCGAATCCCTCAGATCTGAGCAGCAAGGCGACAAGCGCGACGTGGCTGGAGTCCATGGCCTGCAGGGAGAAGCCGGTGGCCGAACAGTCGAAATTGGCGTCCGTCACCAGATCCTTGATTGCATCCATAACCTTCTTCAGGAGACTTCCCTGAACAAGACGGAGTTCCAACATCTTCGCCGGGAAATTCTTAGAGCTTAGGACTAGAATCGGGAAGAGTTTGGAATCGGAGAAGGAGGAGTGGAGTGGGAAGAAAAGGAAGGTACGGAGTTAGGGTTTATACAGAGCGATAGGGCTCGGAACCGCTCGATTCAAAAAATTTAGCGGTCTGAATGGGCGGGGACTAAAATGTGTGGGAAACCATCCTTGGCAAACAAATTTTGGAGACCATTTTCAAGGGGTCATAGTCACACTCTATTCACACACTAACTTCATTGCATACACTATATTCATTTCATTAATTTCAAAATTATTTTTAATACTTATTTTAAAATGAAAGTTTAATATAATGAAAGTTTAATATAATAATTTTTTATTCTACTAAATATGGAGTATATTTTAATTATTAAATATGATAACTTTTTAAAATAAATTTTAATAATAATTTACATTTATTAACATTTATATAGATTTTTGGTCTTGAAAATAAATAAAAGAATATAACGGTGAATAATTTTAAAGATTATATTCCATATAAAATGTTTTAAGTAAAATTTATATAATCACCTTTTTAAAATAATAAAATAACTATATAGAATAAAAATGGTGAAATGCATATTGGTATGATACTTAGAAAATATAAGATTTTATACATAATCAATGGTAATTCAATGTATATTAACAATAAAAGTTGTATTAATTAATAAAAAATTAAAAAAAGGTGCGCCAAAGTTTTATAACTAAAATTAAAACTAAAACTTATATATTATTTTATTTGAAAAGTTATAAGATTAAATAAATGGTGAATAGTTTTCAACATTTATTTATAATGTTTTTTAACATGATAAAGTTATATAACATTTTTTAATAGTAACATAACAATTTATTAGGGGTGCATTTAGTTGAAGAGTAAATTTAGTCTTTTAGTAGGTATGGCTATCACCACCCAATTTTCAATTCAAAATATGAATAATCCACATGAATATTTCAAAAATTATACTTCGTATCATTTTACGTTAATATTTTGAAATTGAATAATTAATATCACAAAAATTACTTAATTTTACATTGATACTCTAGACTGCCAACTAAGTTGAATACGCAACATTTTAAATTATAATTGAACAATTATTAAATATGAGTTGGTATCATTTATCCTTTATATATAAATTTGAAATTCCAATTTATAAGAACTGGACATGTGACATATTGAAAATTTGATATGTGTCAAATTAGGTGGCACTTTAACCAAATTTACTCTCTTCAATTTTTTCACCTCTTTTGCTCTTTTTAAAAATGATAGTTACTTATTTTGAACCCATGAATTTAGATTTAGAATTTAAAAAAATTCATGTACTCTATAACTTTTTAAAACAAATTATTTTTTCAAGACTATACGTAAAAATATTTTTATTATCTATCTCGAATTTGATAAATCATAAAATTTACAAAAAAACATTAGAATAATAAATAAAATACACTCCTCACAAATAAATAAAATTTCTATTTATTCATTATACGTTTACATTATATTCGTTTTATTGTATTTATTTAAATAGTGACACCTATTAAAGAAAATACTTTCTTCACCTATAAATAAATTTTATATTTGTTTTGGCACTTAATGTGTCACCTAATTTAACCGTGCAGATTACTTTGAAAGCGCTAACGCTAAATACTGCCAGTAGATAGCCTTTTCAAAACGCCAACACTAATCTCTAAGATTATTCCCAAACATGCTCTTAACCTCTAATGCAAACAGCTAATCACTAACTCTAATGCAAATGATTAAACTCTAACTCTAAACTCTAACATTGTTCTCAAACAGACCCTAAATAAGTTTATATTTATTTATGACATGTTTAAATAAAGTTAGTTTGTATTTTATTTATTTTCAATATTAATGTAAAATAAATTATAAAAAAAATAGTTTAATCTCTACATTAAAATGCTATAAAACAAGAAATGACTAAACTATTGTTTCAAATGATTAAAGATTTAAATCAAATAAATTAAGAAAAGAATATTTTTAGAGGCTTAAAAGATTTTTTATTTGAATGAAAAAAACAAAAAAAAAGTACTATCAAATTCCTTGTAAATTTCTATTCAAAATCACCAAATCAATAATGTTTTTTTGTATTAACTTTCTTGAACTAATGTAGGAAATAGAATCATTGGATTTTTAAGGTTTTTTAAATTATTTTTTTGAATCGTAGTTGTGCTAATCCATGCTTTTGTTTTTGAATCATGTGGGGAGTAAGGGATCATAATTTTTAATCAATGCGACAAAAGATAATCATATTAATGCATGAGAGATAAAAAATACTATTGATTTCACTAGTCTAAATTAATGTTGTCGCGCACCAAAATATACCCTAAAATTATTATTAAATTATTATTCAATTAAACAAATTTGTTTTGATAAAAATAAATTATTGTTGGTCTTTGGGCCGAAATGAAATATGTTTTGATATCCAATATCAAATCTGGATAAGTCTCATAGAGATAAATCCAATATGTTGACTATTTGTGTGATTTTGATTAGGAACCAGAGTACAATCCCAAATTAAGAATAAATTAAAAGTTTGTTTATGATGTAAACTTTGAAATGATTTATTGAAATAAATCATGAGAATAAATAATATGAATTAAATGTGAGAATCTTTTTGAATAAGGGTCAATTAAATTAATTTTTACTCTGTCAAAGTCAATCACCCAGAAATATGATGTCCAAAAAAATATTCCGAATAAATATAAAAAGTATATCGTTAGATAGAGTTTGACTGTCAGATCCCAGTGACGCAAGAATTCAATTCAGATAAATCTAGACCAAAAAAATATACTCCAACTATGACCAAATTAGTCCCAATCAGGGGACGGTGTGTATAATCGGAACTCAATTGTGAACTGGAAATCTGACTCAACCTATGTATTCTTCCTCTTCTCTTCTCCTATATAAAGATGCTCAACCCCTCTCATTATTTCACCAACTTTTTTGAAAATTGTCCCATAGGAATCCTGAGAGTGAGGAGAGTAGTATGCTATTGTTGGTTGTCATCGAGGTCGCCGGAGAAAGCCGTAGTGTTCGCCGGAAGTTTCGCCGTTCAATCGCCGGAATCATCGTTAAGCTCCAAAGTAAGCTCTTAGATATATCTAGTTATTAGAATGTTCGTATAGATCGTTTCTACATTCATAAACAGTTGTTTGGTTGAGTTTTGTGTTTGACATGTTTAAAGAATCAAGAATCATAAACCTTGCATTTGTTGTTAAAACTTTGAATTAATGATGCCAAAATGACCTATGCACCTTAGAGAACATTTCTATATAGTTTAATTGAAGTTTGGTGACTAAAAATGATATTTGCAAAAATTGCCGCGAGGTTGAAGATGACAGTGTTTAAAATTAACGCGAAGAACGGTATCATGCTACCGCCCGAAAAGTACCTAGGTACTTCTGGCACGGTAGCCACCTACCGTGGCAACGGTAGTCTTCTATCGTCCATGGCCTCTTTGACGGTGGCTGGCTGGTGGCGGTCGGTACAAAGGTACCATGACACGGTACCGGGTACCCTCCAGAACCCGATAATTTCATCGAAACCTAATTTTGAACAATTAAACTATTTTTGATATCAATCAATTATGATCAATATAAATATGATATCTGAAATCAAAAAAGATGTTTTGACCAATCCAAGAACCTTACGTGATGCATGACGGTAAGCTAGTATGTTAACACTCAACGTTAGGCCGCTATTTGTTAATGAATATTATGATGATTACTATTGAATATTGATTATGACCAAACCTTAATGAATATTTTGATTTAATGATTAGTATAATGGATAAACCATATTGAAACGTCATTGATAATAATTTCTATTAACTATTCATTATGACAATTAAAAAAATGACCCGTTTGATTATGATTATATGATGATAACGATCTTATTCTGATGAAATATGGTATTGAATAAATACGAAAAAAAATCATGAATAAATATGTTCGTTTGACTATCCTAATTAAAATGATCATTGTGAATTAATGAACCATGATTCACAATGATTACATTGATGAGTAAGAAAATAATGTGTATTATTAAGATAGACCTCATATTAGAATGGACTTGTGTGTAAATACGTATATTCGGTGATTTAGATAAAAACATACCAACGGGATTCATAGACCAAACTAGCTGATCACTCGTTTGGAGATACCACTCGACCCGATGATGATTAATCAGTGTTCTGTTGTTGCCTTAAGCTAACTACAATTTAAGAGTTTCGGAATATTTTCCTTAAACCAATTGCAGTTTAAGAGTCTGGTTATCAATTGCCTTAAACTAACCAGAGTTTAAGAGTCTGGTTATTCAAATAAAATAACCTTAAATTAACCATAGTTTAAGAGTCTTGTTGACAACATGAAATAACCTTAAACTAGCAATAGTTTAAGAGTCTGGTTATGGAAATCTGGATTTGGCCTTAGGCTAAAAATAGTTAAGAGCGTTGTTATAATCTGGATTTAGACTAAGAATAGTTTCATAGCGTTGTTATGATTTGGCCTTAGATTAAGATTCATTTAAGAGCATTGTCAAAATAATGAATATTGAATATTTGAATTGGATAACATATGTTGTTATGACCTGAACAATATCAAAATCATGAATGATGAATATTTGAATTGAACATTATGTGCATGATATCAAATGATTTGATTATGGACTGAGATTCAATGTATATGGATGTTCGACGCATTAGATATTATTACTCAGCTTCGACGCTGAACGTGTAATATGCTTTATTTGCTACACGCATGTAAATAGAAAGAATGATGTGACGCAGTGGCGGATCCAGAAAATTGAAGAGTTGGGGGCACAATAATTAAAGACTTAAAGTCATAACATAAAGTAAAAGACCAAAAAATTACAAACACAAGTTTTGAAATACGTAAAATTATACTCTTCCGTCCCTGAAAACCTTTATCCTTTCTTTTTTCATCCGTTCCAAAAAACACTTATCATTTCTATTAAAAAGTCACTTTTACCCTTTACTTTTTCATACCCTACATATCACATCATACTTTTTTTACTAATAATCTATCCATCAAATCATATTTTTACCCATCATATCAAAGGAAATTTATGAA